TTAAAGAATTAGTCTGGGTGGTTAATGGCCTAAAATCTTTTTGTTAAAACTAGCAAGCGGCTCTGTCCTTAGGTGAGTTTTTGAAAGGGAGTGCCTCCTACCACTCTCCTATGACGAAGAAAGCTCTCTCTGCTGGGTGATGATACAGTCTGTCCAGATTTTAGTAGCCAGAGAGGTATAAGAGGACTGGGAGTTTTTTCCTCATTGGAAATTAAAACCCAAAGTGGAGGTGCTTAAATGAACCCCCTCTCCTCTTCCCAGAGAGCTGGCTGCTTTTCTCCTCCTGGGTTGATATACATTGGCCAGGGCTAAACGCCTGATGCTTTTGGACAGCATCCAGCCCCTTGGCACAGCAGCCGCACTGTGGAGATACAGCTGCTGGCATTAAAGGGCTAAGCCCTTTCCAGCTGCTTTGCTTTAACGGGAACCGCCGGCAGTCGGCGGCTTTACGGAGCTGTCTTAGTCCGATTAGGGGGAAATGACTAGTCTCTGCTTCTTCTCGTGGCACCGCTCTGGAGGCTCTGGGAAAGACGCCCGCTGGGTGGGAAGTGGTTGGAGAATGGTGTTGGAGGGCCAGGCTATTATCTCCTCAGAATTGTGGTCCCAGCTTGGCATGGTTTGCATTTTGTTTTGCCTCCGTGAAAAAAAAGCGGGGTTCTCTTCAGTGGACTTCTTAGCACTGAGGAAGAAGAGATGTCCATGGGGAGGCATACCCTGGGTACCTGAAAGCTGACATGGCCGCAGCGTCTGGGGTGCACAGCAAGCAATGGCAGTGGCAGCCTTCCCCTGAGAGGAAGAAGACTTGAGCCCCTCCAATATGGTCCCTACTTTGGCCATCCATTTTCTCTTTTGATTAAATCTGGATTTAAAGAGTAAAAATTTGAAGGAAGAACAGTCTTTTTAGTAATTATAAGGTATGTTTTATGGCTGGGGATTTAGCTCAGTGGCATAAGCACCTGCCTGGCAAGTGCGCAGTTGTGAGTTCAATCCCCGGTACCAAAAAAAAAAAAAAAAAAAGAATATGTTTTGAAGATCTCTGGGACCTTGGACATCTTATAATCAATGATTCTTACAAATGCATGCAGTAACAGGCTCAGTGATGCAGACCTATAATCCCTGCACTTGAGAGGGATCACAAGTTGGAGGCCAGTCTGAGCTATATAGTGAGACCTTGTCTCAAAAAACCAAACACTTACAATGTAGTATTTGTTCTTAGTGATTTGCTCATAAGATAGTGACATATGGATTTGAAGTGTTAAAAATGTTGGTTGATCCAAGTGTGCAGGCAACCAGGGAGCTCCAGTAGTAGAACATGTGTTTAGCATACATAAGACCCTGAATTTAACTCCCAGCATTATAAAAACAAAAGCCACAATAAAAAACCAGTGAGTTCCCTCAGGTTTGAGGGGAGCTGCTATAGGAACAGCAGAGAAACTTAAGGCTCAACTCCAGAGACCTGGCATGAAGAAGTGGACAAGTAACATTAGCACAGGGTTAAGATCTTGCTTGTTATGACCCCCACAGCCATAACGTGTGACCCCTGAATCAGGGAACAGAGAACATCCGTGGTGTTCAGGATGCTGAAAAAGGCTGGGGTGTTAAAGTGTTCTGTTTGGCTAGCAAGTTGGGAGTGTTCATTGCAATTTTTTGTTCAGTTTGATCACCAAATCCAGAACATCAGGGAAAAGTCCTTTCTTTCTCAAAAGTGGACCAGGATTTGAGGAGCAACAAAAGAAGGAAGCCTAGCTAGTAAAATTAGGGAAACTGTTGCATGAAATTAATAAGCACATTAGTTGTACAGTTTGGCTTGGGAAGGCCTTCCTGTCCAGATAGTAATAGGTGCTCAGTGCTAGGGCAGACATGGGTGCATGGTGTGGGAGCTCAGAGAGGGAGCTGGGGACTGAAATTCTCACGGAACCAGCGTGGTGGTGCACACCTGTAATCCCAGCACTTAGGAGGATTGCTGCAACTTTAAGGCCATCCTGAGCTACATAATAGGACTCCCCCCCCAAAAAAAAAGAAACCCAAACAAATAAAACAAAACAACAACAAAAAAAAACCCTTAGACATAAAGCTGGAATTAGGCATGAATATGGCAGCCAGAAAGGAACCAAAAGCCATTCCTAGGCCAAGGAAGCACAGCTAACCTGTTGCTCTAGAATCAGACATGCCTGGCTGTTCTGGCCTCTTCTCTGACTGTGGACCGGGCCCTGGCTGGGCTGGGCCTTTTTCCATCTGTTCAAGGCTCTCGAGTGTGAGGTCTTGGCCCCTGCCCTTATCTGGCTCTCCCTCTGGCTTTGGCAGTCACTGCCCCTTCATCTACCTTAATCAGAGATCTGAAGCATTGTTTTTCATTTCCCCTTTTCTGCCCAGTAACTGCAGCCTATTAATTAGTGCCATTGGACTCCTGTAAGCCCCCTTTACTAACTACGCTTGGCCTCCGCAGCTTTTGCTAGATGTGTTACTGTGCCTTAGTGTGGCTCTCCCTGAGAAGTGATTACAGATCTTGGCTGGGCTGACCCCCTGCTACAGCTGCCCTGTGTGGCCATAGATTGGCCAGATGCTTCATCTTGATTAGCTCTTCACTTATTCCTCCCTGCTTTCCTCTCTGACACTTCTGGAGCACTAAGCTGTAGATTAAAAAATTTCTCCATCAAGCTTGTCTCCTTGAGCCTGCTCTCTGCAATGCCTGGTCCTGCTCTGGGCATAGAGCACAGTGTTGTGGGACCAGGGGGCCTGGGTGAACCCCTCTGCTGTGGGGTGGAGTCTCCTGTCAAAACCTTCACCAGCTGGTTCTATGTACCTTGACTATTATAGATCACAGAGTTTTGGTCTGTGCTTCACTTAAACCACAGTTCTGATATTGTCTCCCTTTTGTGTTTATTTGACTTTTGTATGAAATTACTAATCCTAAAAGCTCTGGTTCTTTTTGCCTATTTACTATCCCACCCAGTCTCCATTTATCCTCATTGTTTGAAACTTCTCCAAATCAACTTTCCCAGCTTTGATCACTCCAGTGCTCCACTTCCCTGCTCTGAGAAAGTTCTTATTTCTCTCGTTTGATTCTTGAGTTCTCTTTCCCCTGCGATTCCACTTGCTCACCCAGCTTCCTACACACACACACACACACACACACACACACACACACACACACCAGCACATGCGCTCCATTGCTAATCCTGGGATAGAGGAAGGACATGATGCCTTTTTTAGTAATAACCCTGGCCCTGAGTGGAGACTGCAGGGAAAGCACCCTTGCTCATGATGTTACAAGTAGCTGTCAGTGACTGAGAACCAGCCATATGTCAGAAATGATGTTAAACACATTTCATTCTTCCAGCAACCTCCTCCTCCTCTTCCTCTTCCTTTCTTCTTCTTCTTCTTCCTCTTCTTCTTTTTCTTCTTCTTCCTTCTTTCTTCTTTCTTCTCCTGTCTTTTAGAGACAGGGTCTCCCTATGCAGTTCAGGCAGCCTTGAGCTCATTTTGCTGCCCAGGCTGGTCTTGAATTTGCAATGATCCTCCTGTCTCAGTCTCCCGAGCACTGAGAGTACAAACATGTGCCACCATGCTCAACTCAGCAGCCTCATAACTCTCCCCATTTTCCAGATGAAGAAAGGAAGACCCAGGATCCTCAAATAACTTGTTCAAGGCACATATCTCTTAAGTGCCTGAACCCATGCATTTAAGCTCCATCAACTTCTACTTTATGCTTATGTGGTCTTTTAATCTTGATGGCCATCAAAATTACTTTCTTTGGTGGTTGTTGTGTTTGTTTATAATTTATTTATTGTTGATTTGTTTTGAAACAGGGTTTCACTATGCAGTTCAGGCTGGACTTGAACCCACTCAGTAGCCCAGGCTGGCCTCCAACGTGCAATGATCCTCTTGCCTCAGCCTTCTGCATGCTGGGATTATAGGCATGTGCCACCACCCCTGGAAAATGATTTTCTTTGGAAAGTGAGTGTGTAGATTACTGTGTTGCTCCTCCTTTTCCCTCAGCCCCAGAGGATCAAATGTGTCCCAGATCATAGCTTCTCTCTGGGCTTTTTCCCTCTGCATATTTGGCCCCAGATTAGGCCTGTCCTCTTTATACCCAGGAGAGGCAAGTTAAAGGCCACCAGTAGAAGGTGGGCAGTTTGAGGGCCTCTGCTGGTCAATTGGAAGCAACTGGCTAGGTTCTGAGCTCACATCATCTGCTACTGCTAAGACAATCATCAGCTTGAAAGGCTAATTGTATTAATCACCAAGGCATCCATCCCAAGTCCCCCTCCCTCTGGGGAGAATTATGAATTGCGATTGCAGATGGCTCCACTGATTGAAGGCAGTGCTCAGCAGGGAGAAGGGCCAGATCAGATTACACACCATTAATTAAAAACTTCCCCTGACAAAGGGGAGGAAGAGAATGCACACCAAGGGCCTGCCTGGTTGGGGCTCTGTCCTCCTGGGGGGCGCTCCCCCACCAGGCCCAGAGGCTGTGGCAATGAACCTGCTTCCCCAGCCAGAACTGCTGAGATTCGGCTGGCTTGTAAAGGCCAGACCGTCCGTCATCCAAACAGATGGCCCGCTGTCCTATTAAAAGGCTCCAGAAAAGGAGAAGCTAACCTTTGGTTACTGACTTCTGCATCTAACCTTCTATGCTCTTCAGCCTCTAACCTAATTCCTTACTTCTCAGGAAGCTTATCTCTAGCTCTAGTCTATCCTGACCTAGAGCAGTGCTAAAGAACGGTCAGTGAAAATAACCCCTATCCCCCATCTGTCCCTTCAGAAAACACCTCTGGCTGTGAGTCCTGGGACAGAGGTTGCAAAGGCTGCACTGGAGTGGGGGGTGGAGATGCAAATATCTGGCCAGGACCCTCTTCCCAGCCCCTGCCAGGAAGCAGAGCTGCTCAGCTGCTGTCATTTTGGCTCATTTGGAGCTGTAACTCTTGAATTTTCCTACTCTTGATCAATTACTGCCCCAGTCCCTCCGCAGATGCCCAGACTCAGTCATTCATTCAACAAACTTTTATTGAGCACTCAGTGTGTGCTTGGCTCTGGGGATACAGAGATAATTTGCCAAGGAGTTTAAGAGCCCACTGCAGGGATTCACCACCTCTTCAGCGCTGTCTCCTTCTGTGGCTTCTGTAAGCTCCCCCCACCCCAGCTCTGTTTTGCAAAATCCTTCCCTGGGAGCTGGGGAGAGGTTAGGGTCTGTATGACTATGCTGGGTGACCTTTAGCAAGCCACTCATATCCTCTGTTCACACACATGCACATACACACACATATGTGCACATAGCTGTCCCTGCACATAAAAGGGCACAGAAAGCCTTGGGCTCTTGAGTGATCACAAAGATGGATGATTGGGACCCAGCGTGGAGAGATGTGAAAAACGCTGGCCACCGACCACCGTACAGAATGTGGAGCGGCTGCTAACCCACAGCCCTGCCCTGGTCACAGGCCCAGCCTGTGACCCCACCCTTGGAAACCTTGGGCATCCCCGCCCAGACCCTTGGGAGACACCATGGAGAGGGACCTATTTTTTTGTTTTGTTTTGTTTTATGGATTTGGCTGCTGCTTCTCAGGGTACCATGGTGATGGGCACCATAGAGATGAGAGAAACTGACTTTTATTGGCTTGTCTCTTCATTCCAGGTCCCACTCCCACCCCTACTCTCAGCAGACCGGAGAGCAGGAGGCAGGGTCCCTGTTAAAGTAAACGGAGCTAAAGACGTCAAATCTCACTTTTTCCCTTCCTTCTCCCTACTTCCCTCCTCCCTCCCATTACCAATAGCGATTGTATTCAAACCTAGTAATTACAGTAATAGCAACAATAATCATCATTTATTGGGGTTGTTTTTCTAATGTTTTAACTCCCCAGAGCATTTTCTAATCTCTTATTGTTTCACAGCAGCCCCAGAAGGAAGATTGTACCCATTTTACAGCTGGGAAGTTGAAACCCAGGTAGGATTCCAAGTCATGGGCAGAGTAATTACAGCAACCTTTAAATTTTAACAAGCCTATTGAGATTCCTTAATCCTTTGGAGGCTCTGAAGCTTGAGTCTTGGTTTCCTGGGTCCTTCCCATGTTCCTCCTGCCCCTAGGTCTTATTCATCAGCTTCCCTGGGAATCCTGTGATGCCGAGGAAGAGGCTGGAGAGGCTTCTTCTGGCCCAGGCCATGAGCTGAGGACAGGGACAGGGACTCCCTGCTGTGACAGCTTGTGGAGGGCCTGCCCTGAGACAAAGCTCCTTTCCTATATCCTGCCCCTTTTCCAGCTGAGGAAAGGTTTCTCTCCATCAGCAAGGGCACCTTTGTGAGCACTGGAAGAAGCCAGGGATGATGACACACTGTCCTTAGGCAGCCCCTGGTCTGATGGAACCACAGCCCCCAGACCATCCCCAAGGGCAGGCAATCCCGCAGAGCTCAGGGGCTATCCCAGAGCCCAGTTCTTCTGGGAAGACCGCCCCCTTCCTAAGGGCTAAGGTTCCCTGGTTAGAGTCCTAGAAGAATGGTTGCCAGGGCTCTGATTCCCTTTCCCCTAAGACAAGGATCTGGAGGAACAGGACTCTCACCAGGTCTAGCTGGCTGTGAAAAAGGGAGAGTATCATAAAGACCAGTGTCCCCCAGCCCCATTCTGTCCCCTTAGGAAATAGGGAAGGTCTAAGGGGAAGGAACCAGACAGATTTGCTCCAAGATTTATTTGACTTATAATTGTAGAAGATGGGCACATGCAGTAGGCCTATACTCCCTGTTACTCAGGAGACTGAGGCAGGAGGATGGTGAGTTTGCGGCCAACCTCCCCGATTTAGCAATACTTTATCTCAGAAAAAAAGTGTAGATGCAGCTCAGTGATAATGCCTAGTGTGAGTGAGCTTCTAGGTTCCAACCCTTTACCATTTTTAAAAAGAGAAAAAGAGTGTAATGCCAGGGATAAGGCTTGGCTCCCCTCAACCCAGCACACCCTGCTAGAGCAAGGGAGCAGGCCCCCTCGTCCCCATTCCAGTCCCCTCACGGGGAAGCCGAGTCAGGTCATGCAAGAAACGATGCCCCCTGCAGTGCTCCTCCCTGCACTCTGCACGGGCCGGGCTGCTCACACGCTCACTTCCGTGTCCCCCGAACTGGATTGGGAGTCTTTTTTCTCAGGCTGCACCTCTACTCTCTCTGCCTCGGTGGTGCCCATGAGGATGGCCAGGCGCTGGGTCAGAGTCTTGGTGTCAGGGAACAGGATAAAGTTGTAGATGAGCGAAGCTAGGACAGCCCCTGTCAGGGGGCCTACCCAGAAGATCTGAGGAGACAGAAGGAGGCACCCGTCCATGAGGTATCAGAATCGTACGGGGGCTTTGGGACCCTGCTTCTTCACTAGTGCTGACTTAGTTTCCCAGGAACTCGCAAACTGACTCCAATTTGCTAAGTTGAGAACGATCTCCTGAGCCTACAAGATGAAGGGGCCTTGCCTTCCACGCAGCTGGGCCTCAGCTTGCCGCCACGGCAGGGTTCTCCTCGCCATCTCCTGCCTTCCCTCTCACTGCTCCATCTTAGCCGAGTTCTGGCTATTGCTGTTTCTGTCTCTGCTGGTACGTGTGTCTATTTCTGTGTGTGTTTTTCCTTATTCAAGTCTGAAAATTGGTCCAGCTGGAGGAAGTAAAGAAAGAAACAGAACAGAATGCTTGGGCCAAGGCTACAGATCCTGCCCTGGTCCATTTTCCCTAGTTCTCTGGGTATCATGGGCCACTGGAGATGGGAAGGAAAGTACAAGAAAGAACACCCACGTTGGCCTTGTGAGCTTGGGGAAACCTCCAGCCCTGGCTCTGATGGGCTGGGGTTATCTTCCCAAGAGCTGTGGCCCCACTCTGGAGAAACCCACTGGGTCTGGTGCCTCTGGTCAGGCCCGCTCCCTTCCCCGTGACATTCCACAGAGGGTCTCACCCAGTGCAATGTGAACTTGCCAATGATGACTGCAGGACCGAAGGAGCGGGCTGGGTTCATGGAGCAGCCAGTGAAGTAGATCTGGGGAGCAAGTGCAGGGTCAGGGTGTGAGGAGGCTTGAGGAGCCTGGGAGGGAACAGCTGCCTTTCCCCTGGCTCACAGCCCTCATCCCAGCCCCACTGTACTGCCTGATATTTTGGGCCTGGAGTATGGGGCACTATCTCCACTCGAGGCACAAGGAGCTCAGGGAGAGTTACTTCCTGGTTATGAGGGCCCCAAGAGTTCCCGGGGGGGGGGTCCCAGTGTGTGCATGTGCATGATGTCCCCTTTGTCTCTTACCCCGATGAGGTGGCCCAATGCCACAGACATCCCAATCATGGCGGCTGGAGAACCCAGTGTATGACGGCTGTCCATGGAGGCAAAGACACAGAGCACCAGCTGCAGGGTCAGAATCAGCTCCACTGCCACTGCCTGGCCAGTCGAGGTGCTGTTCTGGACCTTGGCAGAGGGGATTACACAGAGGTGGACATGGGCTTTGCCAACAGGATGGTGAACCCCCAGAATTCATATCATCACAGGATCCTCACTCCCTGCAGAAGTGTGTGGCACCTCTCCCTCCCATGGGTTGACTGGGGCTAGTGATTCAGGGGGCCTCAGCACCAGGAGGAGCGGGGAGGTCTAGACGCTGGGGATGCACATTGGAGGGTAGGATTTGAGGAGACCAGCAGGCAGGAGTGGAAGGAGGCGTGAGGGCAAGTCAGCAGGGAAGGGAAGTGAGCAGGCCTTGGGGCACTGGGGAAGGGTGGGACTGGGGGACAGAGGGGAACAGTGGACACGGTGCGGTTGAGGAAACAGGTTCCCACGGAGCCCCTTTCTCCACCCGCAGTTGCAGTTCCAGCGTGCTCCTGGCTGTGCCTGTCCTTAGATGGCTGGTCTTTCTCCCTTGTCCATCTGTTCCTCACACCACACTGTCGCTGCCACTCTGCCTAGGTAAAGCCAGAGTTTGATCCTCTGGGTCCCAGGGCCCTGCTGGGAGCAGGTGTGCAGCAGCTCGTGGCTGAACTGTGTCTGTGTCTCCTCTCCTAAGGTCTGGCTCTCCCTTGCCCCTAATTGGACTTCCTCCTCCTGGCTCCGACAGGTGTCTAAGCACTGTCCAGATGCCCCTCTTTGTACCTACCAGATTGATCCCAAGCGTCCCTCGGACATCTCCCGGGGTGACCCCGTAAAGCAGAGCAGCCCCCACAGTGGCCCCTGCCAACTGGGCAGCTACATAGGCCATAGCCCGGGGCAGGGAGATGTGGGAGGCTACGAGGAAGGCCAGTGTCACAGCAGGGTTGGCGTGGGCCCCACTGGTCTTCCAGGTGACCTGCACTGCTGTGGCTGTGGCCAGGTTGAAGGTGATGGCGATCTGCAGCATGGAGGGAAGTGCCGAGGGCCAGCGCAGGACGGAGCCCACACCAAAGAACACGTACAGTCCTGTGGCCAGGAACTCAGCGAACAGTGCCTTGCTGACCGCTGTCCAAACCTGGTGTACCAGCGTGTTAGTCTTGCTCCACAGCCCTGGCTCCATGTCCTCGAGCCTGGTACCTTGGCTGTCACTTTCTTTTCTTGAGGGGGCTTCTCTTCTGTCTCCCCTGGTCTCTTGTCTCCGCCTGACTCTGGCTGCCTCACTCCACAGAGGCTTCACGTGCTCTGCCTGCAGCTCTTCCACTGCTCTGCTATCTGGGGGAAGGAGCTGGTCACACTGGCAGGCACATGCCTGCCGGTGGGGTTATGCATGTTGGGGTGGGAGGAGGGCGCCCTGGGAGGGCCGGTGCTCACACGCCTACTTCCCCCTGGGCGCACCCGATGGGGGAGCACATAAGGCAGTGTCCTTGGGAGCTGAGCTGGAACCTCCCAGGTGGTTTTCCAAGCCACAACTGAGCAATCAGCCTAACCCTTGCTGCCCACAAAGGCCTCACCTGAGGGCTGCAGGCACAGGAGCACATGGGACAAGATCCCACAGACTCCCAGGTCCAAGGCCTGCTTCAAGGGCTCCAGCTCTCCAGGCGCCCTGTCTCCATGGTGGCCTGGCTGAACCTATTTTGCACTCCATTAAGTAGGACATGAAATTAAGCTCTTGCTTGTGTTTCCAACTAACACTGTGAATGTCAACTTTAAGAAGGACGCGATTGTGGGAGGGCCAGAGAGGGGCGGTGGAGCTGCTCACCTTGTGCCAGACGCTGCATCTGGCTCCGGATACCACTACTGTCCCCTCCAGGAACCTGCACCAGCCCTTCACTACCTTCTTCCTCCCTCTCCGTCTTCCTTTGTCCCCTTCTCACTTCCTTTGTCCCCCTCTGCTCACTTCCCTCTCAGTGCCCTCTGAACTCTTATTTGCTACGTCAGGCAGCTTACCCATTTCTGTAGCTGCGCTGCTCCCAAGGTCACTCATGGCTTGGTTTTCCCTCCCAGCATTACATCAAGACATTTTGTCAAACAAAGACCGTTCCTTCCTGCGGGTGGTGCGAGTCTGTAATCCCAGCTACTGGGGAGGCCAAGGCAGGAGGATCGAAAGTTCAAGGCCAGCAGAGGCAATTTAATGAGACCCTGTCTGAAAATAAAAAAGGCTGGTGATACTTTGGGGGGGCAGAGCACTTAGCTAGCATACATGAGGTCCTCGGTTCCATCTGTATTAATGAAAAAAAGTTTTCTTTCGAAGAAAATCTGTTGAAATGATACCCACACCTGGATACCTTGACCTTGTCTCTGGCCATATCTACCTGCCCATATATGCCTGCTGGTTGTCCTCAGGTCCTCAAACGCAATTTGTCTCAAAATGAGATCCTTATCTCTCCTGCCTCCACCTTTGCTTAGTTTCTAGCTTTGGCAGCACCCGTGATTCACCCTTGACCCTCTCTTTCCCCTTCCCTCATCCAATAAAAGCAGTAAGCCCTGCTGATTTTGGATCCCACGTGTTTCCATGGTGCCCTCTTTTTGCCACCCTGCAGGCTTTAGCCAGTCTCTCTGCTCGCTTGTTCTGTTCTAATCAATTCTCCACACTGCAGCCAGAGTAATCTTTCCAACATGCAAATCTGATCGTGCTGCTCCCCGCTGAAATTCCTGCAGAGCCTGCCGTCCCTCTGGAAGCCCCGTGTCTGGCTGATGAGTCCTCTGGGATCTGCTCTTCGGCTCCCTTACCCCTTCTGCCTGCTTCTAGCCTTTGCCCTCCAGCCTTGCTGGTGGGTGCCGGTGGTCTCTCCAGGAAGATGCTCTCCCCTCTCCTTGCTCAGCTCGGGCTCCCTCTCCTGGGTGAGGGCCCCTCTGGACAGTTTCACACAGTCACACAGGGAATCAGTGAAGCCTTAGTGGGCAGGAACCAAGTTTTGTTCATCTCTGCCTGCAGTGTCTTGCATAGATGGACTGTAGTTCAAAAAATAATTGTTGAATAGATGAATGAAAGTTTGAACTGCTAGAGGCAGATGACTTCTATATGTGCTGCTTCTATAGCCTGGGACCTGTCCTTCCCTGGGAATAAGCCTCTGATACCTTCCAGGGGAACATCCTCTGTATATCAGAGCTTCTGCTGTCTGCCTCCCGTCTCATGCCAGTGAAATCCCCTGCCCACCCTCTCTGTTCTTCTAGCCATCTTGGCATCACCCCTCCCTCTCCAGAGGACCCCTTGGCTTCTCAACCTGTGCACGCTCTGGCCAGTGCCCTGCTCCTAGCTCTGTTCTATCCACCCTGCTCCAGCTGTACCACCGATTCTCATTCTCCTCGGTGCCTCTGAGGCCATCTGCCTGGCTGGGCCCTGCTTGAAGGAGCCTGGCCAGCCTTGCAGACTGTGGCCGTAGTCGAAGGTCTCTGGCCTCCATAGGGGTCTCGGCCTGCTCAGTGATCTTCCCCTCAGCCCCAGTCACCTCTGCCCTCTATTCTTCTTCATACCTCTCCCATCCTCATTAGGCACCCCATTCATTCTGGCTCTCAGGCAGCAGAGTGCCAGCCTACACCTGCCATGCCACCTGGAAAGCACTCTCGCAGGGAGACCTCACCTGGCTTCCTTCGGGCCCCCTCCCCCATGGCCTGTTGGGGAGCGTGCACTGCTTGTCTCTCTTCCACTCAGCCATACGCCCAGGCCTTATCTGCTCCTGGCTCATCTCCCTCTGGCGGTGACAGCCTCATGTATCAGCGGCCTCCATACCCCACAGACTGGACACGACCTCCAAGCTCCAGCCTCTTTCCTGGACTCTGGGCCCATGCAGCCTCCCTACTGTACTTTCTGGCTGCCCCTCCTCATTTTCCTCCTGGGTTTGGTTTAGAAAGGTCCTGGTTGCTGGACAGATGAGGAACAAAGAGGCACCTGCTGTCCCCATCTAGGCAGTAGGTGTAGGTGTAGCTCTTTTCCCCAGTGAGCCTGGTGCAGTGCCTCCTTTGGGCCCTACCTGGCCTGGGACAAGGTCCTTCACCTCCCAAGGGCAGGAGGCCACTGAGCAGGGCTTGCTCCAGCTCTGGCTTTGCCTGCCTCAGCCAGCACCTTCCCAGCTCCAGCCAGTCCTGGGCCCTGGAGTCTGGCTTAGAGCTCACTGGTGCTCAGAGGCCTTTTGCAGGGCCCACTTAGCGTGAGTTCCAGCTAAGGTCTTCTCAGGGTTTGGGAAATGTAGAGCAAATGGGAAACAAGGAGGAGGGGGAAAGGGGCAAGAAAATACAGACATGACAGGGCGGGAAGGAGTTCGAGGCGGCTTCTGGGAAGGCTGCGAAGTCTGATAGCCTCTCACCCACAGCTGATGGAGGAGGAAGCTGAGCTTGAGAGCAGCAGAGGAAGCAGATCTTCTCAGCAGTCTCTCCTCCTGTCCATTCATCTAATCAGTCACCCTCCACTTTTACTCCACTTCTTCCAGCTCTCTACTGGTGAAATGCACAGCCCCTGGGGGGAGGAGGGGGGGGGGGAGATGCCTCCTCCTGGAGAGCCTAGGCTTGCTTTGTGTTCAGTCTTCAGGGGGGACAGAGGGGCAGAGAGGAGACTGAGCCTGTGTGTGCTTGGGGACGGCTGCACACATGCAAGCCTCTCGGAAGACACGCGGAGCCGGCCTTCTAGGTCTCTTTCCTGAGTGGCCTGTGAGAGTGAATGTAGGAAGGGCTGCCGTGGGTCTGCACATCTGAAGGCAGTGTTTCCATGCTGAGGGAAAGAGCACACACACCGAAAAGATGCATGCTCTGTGGTTCAACTGAAGGTCACTGTGCAACGGAGAGCCCCAGAGATGTGCGGAGTTAGTGTGTGTGGGCTCCTTTGTACACAGATCTTTGTCAGCCCACAGACCAGGCAGCTAATGACAGATCAGGCACAGGAGCACAGCGCCCCCTGCTGGCCAAGCGGCGCCATCCTCCGCTACTTAGCCCAAAACCCTTGCATGGCCCTCGCCCAAAGGCCAGGCCGGCGTCACCTGCAGGAAATCCAAGACCACGGCCTCCCTCCGACAGGATGTCCCCCAACCCCAAATGGGCTGTTTCCCATGGAGTCACCCTTCACTCTGTCACATGGACGTTGGATCCGGTCAGAGAAAGGAACAAAAGCCCGTGGGCTGGCGGGAGAAGGCAGCGTCCGTCACCTCTGTGCCTGTACCTGCTGGAATTCCGGAGCTTTGGGGTGGACGTGGGTGGGGGAGGGCTCTCCTCTCCTCTGCACCTGCTCCCGGGTGCTGGGGTGGGGTGGACTAGAGACAGGCTAGTTCTTGGTGGTTCCTGGGAACCGAGTCAAGAGGCTCGGCCCTCCACTCCCGTCCCCGCCCCCTACCTGGCCAGGGGCCAGCCTCAGGAAGGACTCAGGGAAGCGCAGGCTGTGGATTCGATGGGCGAGGTCTCCCCCTGCTGGCCAGAGTGGCTACTCGCAGCCTGGCGTGAGGGTTCTGAGTGTCCCACATTCACGCTCTGCCACATAGTTTTACTCATAAGCCTGTGAGGCAGGCAGGCCGGGGTGGCCGCGGCTTCCATTCACAGACGTCCAGACGTCTGCGGAATGCGGGCGGGGTGGTCCAGGAATGGAGTTTCTCTTGTCCCGGGTAAGCACCTAGTGGGCCCTGCTGGTCCCTCCTCTTCAGAGGCAAAACTGAAGGTCAAAAGGAGAGATTCCTGCAGCACACAAAGAGGAACACAGGGCAGACACTGTCGGGAGGGCAGAAGCCCAGTCGAGCCCAGTGCAGGCAGGAATGTGCACTGCAGCTCTTTCCCACACTAGGGCTGCAAGCACTCACTTGCTGGGTGCCTGGCCTGTCCATACCAGTGTTTCACGTCCACCTATTGTCTTGTTTTCTCCTCACAGCAACCCTTGACGTTGGTAAAAGGATCCCTGCTTCACAGATGTGGTAACTGAAGCTCCGAGAGCTTATGTTACCCAATGTTGCACAGCACGGTTTGAACTTGGGCCTTCAAGATGGACTCCTTGACTATGTCATGAGGTGTTCATTATGTGGCTCCTACCCTGTCTCACAAGGATCCAGCCCAGTCCCAGGTAGTTCACTCCTTTCCCTCACCTGATTCTCACCAACTGCCCCATGAGGGAAGCATTTCTATCCCCATTTTGCAAAAGATGCAGGCCCAGAGAGTTGGAGAGGTTTCTGAGGAGTGTCTGGCAGCAAGCAGTGAGCAGACAAGGTCAGGGTGAGGACAGGGGACACTAGGCAGAGGCAGTCGGGGCGGGCTGGGCGGGGAGCGGCTTCTGTGTCATGTGTGCGGGGAACGGGCTGCTCCTTCTGAGCACAGAGTTGTGGCATGTGACCTTTTTGACACTCTGAGGTGCAGAGAAGGGAGCTCAGGCTGTGTCTCCTCCACATGACAGAACCTGTCCAATCACCACTTTGGCATCTCAAGGGGTTGTTGCGTTCACTTCTTCTTTAGCTTGCCTGGGACACTCTGGCTCTGGTGCCAGGCCCTCCTCAAGTGGCAGGGACTTGACATAGCTGATGGGGGACTTGGGAGGGGGCTGAGGCATATGACATGGATGAGGACCCCTCCTTTGTGCTCCCACTGTCCCCCATCTTCCTGGCTTCTAGTTCTATTTTTAAATGTGGCCATCTTTTCCAAAATCATAGAACAGATTAAGTTAGTGAACCAAGGTATCATTGCATGTGCTCATTCTCCTTTGTCTCTTGGGCCCTCCCATCCCATTCACTAGGCCTCTCTGGCCTCAGCTTCCTTTCCTTTGCAGAGAAGTTGTCTTTTTGTGCCCTGTGAGGATTATGGAAGAGGATGTGGTAATGAAGAGAAGAAGTGATGGGCCAGAGTACCTCAAGAGGCTCCCAAGGAGAAATGGAGGCAGAGCGTGAGGATCAGTGTTTTATTGGGAATCCCCAACCCAAACACCAGCAGCCCCATTCCAAGCATCAAATAAATAAGGTGACTTTCGAGGAAACAGCCTGTCTCCCTGCTGAGGTGCTCTGGGGCGGGGGCTGTGTTGGTCCCCCAGGGCCTGGCTTTAAGTCTTGAGGGTTGGGGAAGGTGGGGAAGCAGACACAGCCACTCCTTTCTGGCCTGGCCTCAGGGCAGCATGCGAGCTTGGCACGACCTTTCTAATCTCTGAGGTCTGACATTACAGCAGCACAATCTGCCCTGTCCCAGAAAAACTTGTCCCCACCAGACTCCTGCTCTGGCCCCTCACAGAGCATCCCTCATGGTCCTGCTCTCATCGCAAACTGCACAGCCTGAGGCGCCAGCACCTCCTCCCCAGCCAAGAGAACCAGCTATGGGAAGGAAGCTCTGCAGTCATATTTTTCTTCTTTTTTCTCCTGTGATTTCCACCCCGCCTGACGCCGGTCAGCGGGCGGTTAGCTCTATGGTCTTCTTGCGCTCCTCATGCTGCTCCTCCCAGTCCTCCTCTGGCTCATATGTGCCCTTGACGATGGCCACACGGTCACTGATGCTCAGGGAGTGGGGGAACAACACGTAGAAGTAGAGGATGGCAGCCAGCACGGCCCCCACGATGGGTCCCACCCAGAACACCTGGTAGAGACAGGGTAGCCATTAGAAGATGAGCCCAGATCCACCACCAAAAGAGACCTCCAGACCCCTCCATGATCCAGGGGCAGATGTGGATCACAGACCTGCAGAGGAGGCAGACAGATCCCACAGGGAAAGAAAGCCTTGCCTCTCACACTCTAAAGAGGGACAAGTAAACCTTCAGAAGGGACAAACATGCAGATCCTCAGACAGAGATGGACAAGACCTTCCCTCCACACAAAGACGGCCCTTGATGAATGAACAGAGCTATGAAAGTAGGTGACAGGCTGCCTGGGGCGGGGGAAGGATCCATAGGAACACCACAGCATCCAGAAAGGTCAACTGGTTTTTCTGGGCCATGACCGGGTCTCCAGGCCCATATTTCCAGGGTGTCAGAAGAGGATTTGGACTCACCCAGTGCGTGGAGCTGAACCGTTTCATGACCACTGCGGGGCCAAAAGAGCGAGCCGGGTTCATGGAGCAGCCAGTGAAGTAGATCTGGACAGACCAGGAGTGGCAGTGAGGGGAGTGACACCCCATCCCCTCCCACAGAAGCTGGACTCTCTTGGGGTCCTGAAGAGGTCCAGGGGCTCCGCCAGATCTCAAACTCAAATCTCCTGATTCCTAGGCTGGTGACCTCTTCCTCCATGGATCCCAGTTGTCCACTGGACCACGGATCCTCACTCATGTCTTCCTCTCTGCCCACCCCTACTCCTGTCTTTCTCTGGTCCAGAGAAAGTTTGGTGGGAGCTGTCCTGGGGCCTAGTAGGGCCAGAGTCCAGCAGCCATGAGACTAAGCCTTGAACTCTGCCGGGAGATTCATCAGTCTGAAGAGAATGTTTTTTGGGGTTTGTCCTGAGTAGCTCCCCCCAGTGGCACTCCTGCTGAGAGTCAGAACCACTCACCCCCACAAGGTGGCCCAGGGTGACAGAAAGGCCAATGGACAGGGCTGGGGAGCCCACCGGGCTGGTGCGGCGCGAGTCAGTGGAGGAGAAGATGCAGAGTGCCAGCTGGAAGGTCAGGATGAGCTCCACCACCACCGCCTGGCCTGTTGTGATGTTGCTGTTGAGCTGCAAGGGAAGGCTGGGTTAGGGCCCTGGCTGTTTCTGCTGTGTGGCTGGGGCCTGCAGGCCTAGGCTGGTGGACTCCAAAAAAGACACTGGGAGTCTAAGCACCTGGAAGCCAGGCCTGTATATGCCACCTCAGAGAAACCATTCGTCAAAGAGACTGGGTACTTCACAGTTTGCACAAGTCCGAAGCTCAGGCCTGCGGCTAAAGGGCAGAGTGTTGGGAGCTTTTCTTGGACACAGTTCTGTCAGTGGCTGTGCCTAATCCCCAACCCCCACAGGCTGGCATTTACCCTCCCTCCAATGGGCAGCTGCCCGGTTTGCCTACTGCAAACTGCCCCCAGCCTCTTACCCATGCCTAGGCCACTGCTGGTGCCAACCTCAAACCCGTCTCTCCAGTGTGGCTGACTCATGGCTTGACAATGGCCATGAAAATCCTCCTCTGTGTTTGATTAATGAACCCAGTTTGCATGGGACAGGGGGCTGAACCTTGGACTGCAAAAGGGGGAGGCCGCTGAGAGGGAGGAGAGGGGTGGGGAAAGGGGGAATCAATACTTGACAAAGACCGCTATGCACAGACCGCTGTGCACCACATTAGGGGGATCGTGTCTAAATGTAATTCTTATGACACCTGTTGTGGTTTGACCACCCTTGTGCACTGGCCAATAACAGTGAAGCACAGAGCCAGTTAGTGGTGGCACATGCCTGTAATCTGAGCACTTGGGAGGCTGAGACATGAGGATTGCTTTGAATTCAAGGCCAGCCTGGGTTACATAATGAGTTCAAGGTCAGTATGAACTACACAGCAAGACCCTGTCTCAAAAATAAATAAAATAAACCAGGTATGGTGGCACACATGCCTGTAATCCCAGCACTCAGGAGGCTGAGGTAAGAGGATTGTTGCAAATTTGGACTACACAGTGAGCTCAAGGACTACACAGTCTGGACTACACAGTGAGCTCAAGACCAGTTTGAACTGCATAACGAGACCCTGTCTCAAAAAAGACAAAATAAAATAAGATAGTGAAGCACAGAGGTTACCCCAAACCAAGATTGCAACTGCTTTCTTTCTGGTGGTTCTGTGAAAACTGCTCCACTAGGGCGGACAAGAGAGGCAGTGAAGGCAGAAGGGGGCCAGGGTGGGACAGAATGAGAGAAGGGAACAAAGGTGATACGTGTGAAGTTGGGTGGCTTTGGTGGGGGCACCGGTTGGCTGGAGTCTCATCTGCCTTGTCTTCCTGGCAAGGGTGCGCGTGCCCCACTTAACTGACCCATTCTCAAGGTGAGGCTTGGGGGCCTGGTCCCGAGCACACCCCGGGGGTCCTGCCCACCCTTCCCTCAGTGGGATGGGCACTCACCGCATTGACAGCCAGGTTGCCCCGGGCGTTGGTCGGTGCCACTCCGTAAAGGATGCCTGCTCCGGCAATGGCACCCACCAGCTGGGCTATCACGTAGAAGACAGCCCGGAGCAGAGAGATCTGGTTGCCTACTAAGAGCGCCAGCGTGATGGCGGGGTTGATGTGGCCTCCACTCACCGGCCCCAGGGCTTGGGCCAGGGTGCCTATGGCCAGGCCAAAGGCCAGGGAGATCTGCAGGATGGTGGGCAGTGCCGATGGCCACTTGAGGGCCGAGCCGAGACCGAAGAAGACAAAGATGAGGGTGGCCAGGAACTCCGCGAACACCGCCTTGAGGAAGGCCACGGAGCACACCTCCTTCTTCATGGTGGCCTCGGGGGCCCCGCGGCGGCGGCGGCGGCGGCGGCCGGGGGCGGCCGTCGGGGCGCGGACGTTGGCGGGGCCGCGGCTCGGGCCGGCGCTGGCTCCCGCGCTCGCTGGGCGGCCGGCGGCCCGGCTGCGCGCGCTATATACGGGGCGGGCGCAGGGCTGCGGGGCGCGCGCGGGGGGGCAGTGGGCGGCCCCGGCGCTCGGGGGCCAGCGCGGCGCGCACGGAGCGGGCCCGGGCCTCGCGCCCACCCCCGCGCCCGGCCGGCGGCCGTCCACCCCGGGCCAGGTGACCCAGCCGGCGGTGTAGACCGGCTGGGCGGCCGGCGACCTGAGCATGCCGCGCTGCGCGCCGCTCCGGCTCCCCGCGCCGCGCTCCGCCGGGAGACGGCCGGCTCTGGGTTCTCCGATCCGGCAGGAAAGTCTACCGAAAAGTCTGCCTGCTCCGGGCCTTCATGTGTTCTTGTCAGGGCCTTGTCCAGCTCCTCCTTTTCCTTTTCTCCCTGAGCCGAGCATCCTTCCTGCCTCGGCCTCAGCCGCGGGCACAGCCGAAGTAATGCGCGTCCCTGAAGACGGCGCCTCTTGGTTCCCCGTCGTCGGCCGGCGTGAGCGGGGGCGTAGGGCACCGCAGGGCGCTGTGCCAGCCTGCGTTTAGCAATCCTCGAAGCTGAGCGTCCGGGCAGGACCTTGACGAGGCGGCAGACTTCCCGAGGCTGCCACCGTCCTGAGGCACAGGATCCCTCGAGTCCTGCAGGAGGTGGGGTGAGGCAGTCCTCTTGTTCACAGCTGGGTGGGACATAGCCAGTTAGGGCTGTTCTGGGGTCACGTAGGAGGCCCCAGCCTTAGGAGCCACAGACCTCCCGTGCCAGGGCTCGACCTCTGCTGCCTCCCACCGGGAGTCCCCGGCTGGGGTCTGGCTTCTGCTCTCAGCGTTCTCAGACTCTTTCTGTAAATCCGCGTTACCTCCTGGCCCCTCTCTCCATAGCGATCTCTTGCTTCTTACCCCAGTGTTTGTCCAAGGCCCATTTTTGTTTATTTGGGGGACTCCTGGGCATTGAATCCAGGGCCAAACACAACTACATCTTGTCTCCAGTTTTCTTTCCTTTCCTTTTTATTTTTTATTTTAAAGACAGGGTCTTGTTAAGTTGCGCAGTCTGGGTTTGGACTTTAGACCCTCCCTCCTCTGCCCCCCAGAACACTAGGATGACAGGCGCAAGTGCTGCCATCCCCGCCCCCCAGTTTGTCCCATCTTTTCCTCTCCCTCCTCACCAGTCTCTTCCCTGCTGTTTTTCTCCTCCTTTCTCCACTTTCTTGGCCTCTCTGCCTTTATCACTTAAGACTGTCAGTCTGTGTCTTAAATTCTCCTCCTTCACCCTCTCTGTCTGTTTATGCGTTCTCATTTTTTGTTTTTTCCCTTCCATTTACAGTCTGAGCCTCTCTGTCTCCATTCATGTTTCCATCTTTCCTCTGCCTCTTTTAATATTTTACAGTCGTCTGTGTTCGCAGGACATAACGATTCCATTCCTTGTATGGAGTTGGCACACTACATAACCTGTCTTGACTCTTTTTTCACCCTCTTCCCCTTACTCTCTCTTTTAGTTTTTGTGTCTTTCTTTGTCTATCTCTGATTTTCTGTGGCGGCATTTCTTACACTTAGTACTTTTCAAGTCCTTCAGTCCTTGGACCGCACAGTTCCTTCTAGCCCTGTCCTTGTGCCTTCCCTCTGAGCTCCTAGTTCCTCTCCTCCTCCATCTTCTCATCCCCAGGTTTAGCACATGGAGCATGAGGCTGGAAGGCTCCCCAGAGATCCATCCTCAGGATTCAGAGAGAGGAGGTACACCCTCCCCTCTGTCACCACCAGTTGCTTGAGAAGCACTTAGCACACTCCTGGCTGTGTAATTAGTTTAAAATGCCCCCTGGGTTTGAGCCCTACCTAGGCTGCAGCTGAGGGAAAGAACAGGTGCCTCCTGTCGGTCTGCCAGGCAGGTCCCAAGGGGCGGAGCTGTGGGAAAGCCGGGGACCTGCAGGAGCAGCTCTGGGCTCTGCAGCAGCCAAGAGGCCAAAGCAAACAGGGGCCAGAGAAACTCCACTGTTGTTCCTGTTCTGCTCTGGCATTTCCTGCTGGAGCAGCTCCTCCTCCATCCCTTTTCTGAGGCAGAAGGGCAGTCTGTCCTTTCTCCCCTGGGTCCCGAGACCCTAGCACTAGCAGGGCATAGCTACTATATATAGCACCTTCCTCATGGCCTGAGGCTCAAACTGCAAAATGGCCCTGATGACCCCAGAGGCCTTCACAGCTGAACTGGCCTTCGTTTGGTCTGCACCCTTCCACCTTCTCTTCCATCCTTTCCTGGGCACTGTCTTTCCGAGTCCACAGGTCTCCAATTCCATGGACTTGGAGTGAACAGGACACAGAAGTGTTCATGGGAGGCTAACCTGCTGAGGGAAGCATCTACCTGAAGACTTGAGCTTAGTCTTTGTGAGCTAGTAGAGGACTGTAAAGCTCAGGAACTTGTTCGGACCATTTTATAGATTCAGAATGACATCTATACAAATAGATAATAACTGGCATCTGCCATGTGACTTAACCCCAAGCTACCTAGTGAAGGGACCTACTCAGAGGTTGCTCGCCTGGGATCACTCAGTGACCTGAGAGGGGAAGCTCAGGGTGCTGTACAGACTTGGTCACTGGGAGTGGACAGGTGAGGACAAGCCCAGGCCCATGGGTGAGGTTCTTCCTTCTCTCTAACCATCTGGGTCACTCTGCTCCCAGGCTGTTCCTGGCGCTGTTGTGTCCTGGAATTGTCTCCACTGAGCACTGAAGATCCTGCCTGCCAGCTCCAGAGGAGAGCCTCCCTAGGACCTACGCTGATGGGAGAGCTGGACTTTCTCAGGACCTTTTGATGCCCTAGGAAAAGCTGTGGGCTGGGGTAGAAATGGCCGGGTGCTCAGTCTGTTTTCTGGTATCTGAATTCTTTCATTTCTAAACTGTGGAAGAAACAGCCCTCATTGATAGATAAAATGAGCATTTATTGAGTGCTTACTATGTGCACAGCTTATAGTAAAATAAGGTTAGATAAGGACCAAGGAGGGAAGATAGACCGGAAAATCCCATCCATGAACTGGAAGGTGCTCTGTCCCAAAGGGCTTACAATCTAGCTGGGAAACATTGGATACACATGAAATCACAGCTCATACATACAAAATGTCAAAGCAACTTTTGCGGGTACCATATCGCTTTGTACAAAGTGGGAGTGTGGAGAAGGATGGTGTTGGGACCCCATGGTCAGTGCCTCCTCCTCTCAGCTCAGAGCCCTGTTCTTCACAGCTCCAAGACCTGCCTACATGCTGCCCTGCCCCTGTCTGGTGTGACCTATGCCTGACCTCCCTAGGCGACCTTCAAAGGCAGAAACCAACCCTGTGTCTTTTGTCACCTCCTCCCTACCAGACTCTCTGTCCACTTGCAGACAGTGGTCTGTCTGGGCTGAGCTGGACAGGCCCAGCTGAGTGTCCTAGTTTCTTCCAGGGGCCGCAGGAGGGAGCTTTCACTGGGAGCCCCTGGGAGAAGATCATGGGGATTTGCATAAAACCTGAGTTCAAGTCTTTAATCCAATGGCTATGTGTTGTTGGCACAGTCTCTTACCCTGGGTTTCTGAATTTATAAGGTAGGAAGAAGAGTTTTTACCTATTTCCCAGGATTGGGAGCAAGCACAGGGATGCTAAGGGAGTGTTTTGGGAATAGTAAAGCCTTACATGGCTGGGGTCATTGTGCCTCCTGACTGAAGTTTAGGATGAGATAAGCTAATGAGTATAAGACAGTCAGCACAGTGGCTGGCACTCAGAGATGCTCAGTAACTGCCAATTCCCCTGCCCCTGTCACTTGGAATCCTGCACTAGTCTCTGATCCCAATCTGACCAATAGGGGCTAGAAGTCGTGGGGCATCTCACAGTTACTTTTTTGGCCAGAAGCAAGCTAGGAAGTGGTCCAGACACAGAGATTCTTGGTGTCTTGTTCGTTAGGATGTAGAGGGTTATAGATGAGCTGCCTTCTAGAGCAAGGAAACTCAGCTACCAGGAGGAAAGGGGTTTGTCCTCCCCACAGCAGCGATAGCCCGGCAAGGCTTTTTCTAACTTTGGAGAGAACTTTGGTCAAGGAAGACAGAAAAGAGCCTGTGTGAGAAAAGAGCCTGCACCATGCCACAGAGAAGTCCTTGTACACAGACTCTGTGAAGGAAGACGAGGGGGAAAAAGGCGCACGCACGGTGGGAGTTTGGTAGAGTGGGATGAATAGACAAAAGCCTGGGGCAACTGAGAACTTAGAGAAATGGCTTCCGCTGTGCTTCTGGGCCAGCTGTGCAGCAAGATGGTGGGAGGAAGGGTCCGGAAGGTGCGAGGAAAGAAGGGGAAGGACTACCGGTGTGTGTGCTCTAAGAGGCTGCTCCGGGAGGGCGCCAGCCAAACCCATTTCCTTCTGCCCAGAGCTTTTTGCTTTTTTTTTTTTTTTTTTTTTTTTTTTTTATCGGTACCGGGGATCGAACTCATGACTGCCTGCTTGCAAGGCAGGCACTTTTGCCGCTGAGCTAAATCCCCAGCCCCCTCTCCTTTGCTTTTACCACCAACTAAAAGAGGGGAAGGAGGCTGACGGTCGGGCCCCTTCTGTAGTCACCTCCCTCCAGAGGAAGCAGAAGTACTGAAAATCAACCTCATAGTGCATACTACTAGTATTAAGAATTACTGTTCACCCAGCATTTTTACGTGCATGGTCTCGCTTAATCCTATGGAGTCTCATTTGAGAACCATTACACTGGCCTGGAAATGTAGAAACCTGGGTTCTAGACTCACATCTGCCTCTCCCCCAGGCAAGTCGTTTCCTTTTCTGGTCTGCAGTATCCACAATAAGCGTTCAATGTGAGAGCCAGAAGGGGCATCTAACTTAAGGGGACTGTCTGTTTCTACCCCCAAGGAGGCGGGAACAGAGATTTCTGGGGAGGAGGAACCTCCCTGGGGCTGGGGGAGGAAGAGGAGCATGATGGTGGCTGCTGCCTTGTGCTGTGGTTGCACACCTGAGTGCCCTGCCTAGCCAGCCATAGGTGTGAGCTGGGCCAGAGACTCACTTGCGGAAACTGAGTGTCTCCTTTCAAGAAGTGTCTAGTTGCAAATCTCCCCTTCTTGAAGACAAAAGCCAGGGGCCCACAAAGGGTTTTTGTTTTCTGCACCTGAGAAGAAGTTTAATCTGTGGGTCTTCCCCCTCCACCAGATGGGGGTCTCATGTGTGTGCATGCCTGCACATGTGTTTGTACATGCACACACATGCAGGTGTGTACACACAGGTGTGCTTTCCCTTTGAAGAGTCCTTCCTAAAGGCAGAAAGGAAATCTTTGGCCACTCAGCCCTCTCCTTTCTTTCTTTTCTTTTTTTAAAAATCTTTTTGAGACAGAGTTCCTCCTGCCTCTCAACCTCCTGGTGTTATGGGCTTGCACCACCACACTCCACTGAGACAGAGCTTCACTATGCAGTTCAGGCTGGCCTCGAACTCACTTTGTAGCCCATGCTGGCCTTGAATTGAAGCAGTCCTCCTGCTTCAGCCTCTCAAGTGCTGGGATTACAGGCATGTGTCACCATGCCCAGCCTTAGACCTCCTTTTCCCAGAGGCCATTTCTGGTGGAGCTGTTCTCTGGTTGATACTTCTTGCCTCCACCAATGCATCAGGGCAGGTCTTGAGGCCCGGTGCTGCAGCTTGGGAATTTTCCAGAAGGGGCAAGACAGGGGTTGGAATCGGGGCCTTCCCTTCAGACTCTCCTTTCCTCTTCTCCTGGGAGTAACTTGCTCGGAGGATTCATCCTCTGCAGAGGAAGTGGATTTATTGCAAGTGTGGGAGGAGGAGGTTGAAGTGGGGAGTGAGAGGCCCTAGCACTGCACACTGACATCACCATACCAGTTCACACTCAGGCAAACCCGGCACTGGAGGACAGAGGAAAGTAAGGATGAATATACATTTGCACACTAGCAAAACGGAATGCACCATTCCTGGACCCCTAAGGTGGGGGTCTCCACACTTCTCACCCAAGAACCTGGGCGCAGGCTCTCAGAGCTTCCACTTCCTCCCACCTGTCCTCCCTCCCCAGCTCGTGTCTCTTAAATCTTCAGTTCCCTGTCAGGGCCCAGAGGGTCACTGGCACAGCGGTGCACAGCCTCCACCTCCAGGCAGGGCATCCATCAGGCTCACTGCTATTCCAGAGGCCCCCTTCCTGCTGCCAGCCGCTCTGCCCTGGGAGCAGTCTCGGGCCTGGAGAGACAGGGACAGGGTGGGCCTTCCATGCCTGGCCGCACCCAGCAGGCTGCGCTGCCTGCGGTCCAGGCCCAGAGGCAGCAGCTCAGGCCTTGCTGCCCCGCGGCGGGCTCTGCGGCGAGTGCAGCTCCACCGACTGCCGCCGCCGCACCTCGCGCTCCTCCCAGTCGACGTCAGGCTCCAGGCCCTTCAGCACCGCCAGGCGCTCAGACAGGCTCTTGGTGGAGGGGAACAGCAGGTAGTTGTAGAGGAGAGAGCCCAGGATGGCGCCGACCAGGGGCCCGATCCAGAAGACCTGGGAGGAGCAGAGAGAGCGCTGGCATCTCGCACCCCAGGCATGCGCGCAGTTTGGGGCCAGACCAGCTCCTCTCTCGTGGCACGGGACTAACACAATGAAAGGCTTATTCACCAAGTTGGTAATGGCAACGCAAGCTGCCCAGGACGGCTTGTTCGCGTGGAGGCTAAGGAGGGAATTCTGATTCTCTCACTGTATGAGCCTGATGCTTACCTTTGCGCGTGGGTTTCCCTTCCAACAGTGATTACCTCCTGGTGTTGTGCAGATGAAATGAGTTGAAGTTTGCAAAGCACTTAGAACAGAGTCTAGGCACACTAAGCACTAGGTAAGCATTAAGCAATAAAACAATGTTAACTGTTACAAATGTTATGGTTGACTGACTGCTACATGTTTTCACGGGTAATCTTAATTTTCCCAAGAAGCCAGTGACATAAGAAATTGTCATCCTCATTTACGGCTGGGGACAGGGAAGGGAAACTGAGTCTTTGGCACTGGAGGAGGCTTGTGGAGCCACTGAGCCCCTTGCCCATTCTGTTCCAGCTTTTGCTCTCCCTCTGAGATGGGTTTTTAGGGAGGGGAAAACAGGGATTTGGGCCATTACCCAGTGGTCATCAAACTTGCCGGTGACAACAGCCGGAGCCAGTGAGCGGGCAGGATTCATGGAGCAGCCAGTGTAGTAGATCTATAGTGGGAAGTGGGGGTCAAAGAGGAAAAGGAGGTGAGGACAGGGAAGGGAGTTCCTGTCCCCCTCTCCAACACTTCAACTTAACCTAAAGGCAACCCATTTGATGGGCAATTGACACTGTGATTTGATTACTAGGCTCTGTATATGTTTGGGGCCAGAGTGGTAGTGTCGCTCTGGGGTATCTGGGAGTCAGCACCTCTGGGCTGTGTGTTCCTTCGGGCATTCTGTGTGTCTGTCTCTCTGAGAGTCTTTAAACCTATCACTTTTGGGAGTTCTACATGTGCATCTCTAGAGCGGTCTCTGTTTCTGTTTCTTTGGTGATGACTGTGTCTGTCCCTCAAGGGAAGCTGAAACCCATGTGTGACCTACCCCAAGAAGATGGCCCAGGGTCACAGAGAAACCGATGGAGAGGGCAGGGCTGCCCAGGTTGTCTCCACGACGTTCATCAGTGGAGGCGAAGATACAGAGCACCAGCTGCAGGGTCAGAAAGAGCTCCACGGTCACTGCCTGGCCAGCTGTTGTGTTATGGTTGAGCTGGGGACAGAGAAGGGTTAAGTGGGAGGGGGGCACTGATCATGCTCTCTGCCCTGTCCTCTGGTCCACCTGCAGTCGGCTGCAGGGAGGCCACTGGGCTGGGAGCCAGAACATCTGGGCTCACCAGACACCTTATGTGTCCCTCTTGCCAACTGCTTCCTGATGGACCCCAGGGCCGCCCTGGCCACTCCAGGCTGAGGTAGGAAAACTGGCTATTTAGCCACTGGATCTTGAGGCCTATAGCATGAGAACAAAACAATGCTTTCTTTAATTCTGAATTTTGATTCAGAAGGTTTCAACTTCATTAGGAAGATAGCAGGAAGGCCTTCCTTCCTCTGGGAAGACACAGTGTGACAGTCCGAGGGTCCGTCTTCCTGTGGTCAGATGGTTCCCAGGGATAGGGTCCAGGGACTTGGTGTAGGGGATAGCCCGGAGTGCACCCAGCCCATGGGTACAGCACACAACACTTCTCCTCACAGTTGCTGCTCCCCACTGCATTCCAGGCCTCCCCCAGTTTTGCCCCGTGATTTGCTCCCTGCGCATCCTCTGGAGGTTGGGGTGGGTGTGAGAGCACTGGACTGTGAGGCCTCCAGCCCGTACCAAGAGTGCCCTTGGTGCAAGCAGTCTCTGCCCTGGGTAAGGAGAGAACTCAGGGTTCTTGGAGGCAGTTTTATAAATGGGCCACACCCAGCACTGGGTTTCTCTCTGGGTTTTGTCATCCTATACCCTTGCCCTCTGGGGCACATTGGAGCTGTGACACCTCAACTCCCATGCTCCTCTTCCAGGCCCTGAGTCCCCCACCTAGACGTGAGTCTGGCGCTCTTAGATCTTTCTCGTGGTCAAACCTCCATTCCTCTGGCTGCTGTCCAGGTGAGATTCTCTAAGGGACAGTGAAAGGGGCTTTGGAGGCAGATACTTTGGAGGTCTCTGATTTGCTGCAGGACCCTCTTTACTTTGGTTTGGGGTTATCCTTCTGTAAAATGGGGATGAGAAAATGGATTATGGAGAGCTGTGTGAGGACAGGAAACGACAAGGGCTATCACAACCCCATTCCTGTTGTACATGGCTGCTCAGAGGGAACAGTATATACATGGCTTACTGTGCTTGTGATTTGTATCTATTGAATCCTAAGCCTCAACTTACTACCCAAGATGGGAGAATGACAGAATTTACCCCACAGTGTTGTACCAAGAGTGAAATAGTGTCTGGCCTGGCACAGGGCAGACGTAGATCAATGGCAACTTTCTGGCAACCAGACTGGCTCTCAGCATCTCTACAGGGCACCTGGCACAGCTTTGGGGGCCATCTGATTTTCCTGAGCCTCAGGGGAAGTCAGCCCCACTGCTACCCCATTCTAGCCAGGCAGGAGTCTCTCCAGTTCCTCAGGATGGAAAATGCCCAGTTCCAGCTTGGAGGAGACTTCCCAGAGCCTCCCCTTCTGATGGCCCCAGGCCACTGAAAAGTGATGGAGGAGCTGGACTGAGTGCTCGCTAGGGCCTCTTTGTGCTTCAGGAGCCACAAGACTAGAGAAGACAATGCTTTAGAGAAATTCCTCTTTTCTAGCTGGTCCCCTCCCCACTGCAAAATGAGCTCATATCACTCAGTGGAAATAGGCATGGTCCTCCACTACCTTGACCATGCTAACACTTTTTGTCCCTGGGCTCTCAGCCTTGTCATATTTTCCCTAACTGTCATATTTTGAAGAAGGAAGAGTTCCCTATCTGGGAAAATCTGCCCTCTTGCCCAAGGAAGATCACTTGTACAGGGGAAGGGACAACCACAGAGACCATGCAGGACCCTTTGGAGACATCGGGGCAAGGAACAGAGCAGGCCAAGCCGTGCAGGAGATGGAATATGGGTACTTGCTGTCTTGGCTTGGGCAGGGGTACAGTGTGGGAGTTGTGATAAGTTAACTCTGTGCCCCAGCCCTCGAATTTCCTGCACAGACCCAGAACAGGGGTCAAAACATCACCTCCAGCTCCCAAAGTGCCTGAGGTGCCCAGTTAGGCACGGTACCCTATAATCAGCAGCCAAACTATAGGCTCCCAGGTCCTTCTTCCAGGGTCTGGGAAAATTCTGCTCCTACCCCCGTCCTCCAGGTTCTGGTGTTTTCTCTCATACTGACCAACTGCAAAGCTTCCGACCCATCACTTTACGTACCACAGCCTAATTCTTGCTTTCAAACAAGGCCGAGGTGATGGCTCAGAAGGAATGAGCACGGGGTTTATCATCAAGCCTGAGTCTGATGGTTGGGCCCTTTATCTGAGCCTCAGTTCTCACATGTCTATCCCTGCTTCTCAGGGATATTGTGAGTCTTCAAGCATCTGAAGAGTGGCTGTCCTGTGGCCACACACAAGAGAAGCTGAAGAAATGTTCAGTTCATCTTCTTTCTGGTAGACCCTTGCCATTGCACTCTGAAGTCCCCTCAGCTCAGAAGCCCTGTCTGCTCTGAGACGCTGTTCCCTGCTGAGGTCTGGCCCAGTCCTCTCTGTACTGCAGGCAGCAAGTCCAACAGAAACCTTGATGCACTCTTCCTCCTGGGGACTTGGGCACAAGCTCCAGCTTCCCTGCATGTATCCTGCTTCTGGTCTGACACCATGGCCCTGCCTACCAATTCTCCTGGGGCTTCTGGGTTTGGCTCCAGCTTCTTCTCCGTCTCTGCCTTGCCACCCAGACTCCTACCCAGAGTCTGTCCCTCCCATCTCACTCTTTCCAAGTGGTCCCCAGGACCATCCCTTGTAGAAGGGACCGAGTAAATTTGGGCTACTCACGGCATTGATAGCCAGATCCCCACGGACTTCTGCTGGCGTGATCTCATGGAGCAGAGCAGCGCCTGCTACAGCACCCAGAAGCTGGGCAGCCACGTAGAAGATGGCCCGCAGGAAGGAGACATGGCAACCCACCAGGCAGGCCACAGTCACAGCTGGGTTGATGTGAGCCCCACTGACATGACCCAGAGCCTGCACCAGGGTGCCAATTCCAAGGCCAAAAGCCATGGCGATCTGCAGCACAGAAGGCAGGGCCTGTGGCCAGTTGAGGGCTGAGCCAAGGCCAAAGAAGACAAAGAGGAGTGTGGCCAGGAACTCCGCCAACACGGCTCTGGAGAAGGCTATAGATCGGAGCTCCCACATGCTGTGGAGCTTTCCGCGGGCTGGCCCAGAGGCCTGAGGCCAGGAGGTCTGCACTGCACTCTCTCCTCTCTCTCTTTCTCTGGGCTTCTGGGAGGCTGGGTACGGACACTTATAGGGTGCTTATGTCCCGGATTTGGGCACGTGGGTGCGGAGGTGGAATTTAGGCCAATACCTTTTGTCCCCATGGCTGCTTCTGCCCCTGCCCCTCACCCCTGCCCAACTGCATGCCTATCACCCCATCTGGGCCTTCACAGCTGACTAATGTTCCCCATTAATAAGCTCCAGATAAGGATTGACGTCCCCTATTTTCCTTGTTTGTTCCCTTAGTTACCCCAGAGTTGCTGCCCAGGGCCTCTCCCACTCCCAGCTGCAAACGCAAATCGCCTGGAGGGGAGCACATTTGGTGCACCTCTCTCCGACTCAAACCATTGGTCTAGATGGGGGCAACACCTCTCTCAAAACCAATCATCAGAGACGATGTTGCCCTACTCTTCTAGTGATCGGGAAGTTCTGCTGTCTGACCTCCAATTAATTCTTTCTTGAAGTGGTGGAAAACAACTGGTTGGCTTGTAACAAATTTCTAAGGCATAAAGCTTTCTCGTTTCATGCTTGCTTTCTTGTAGTTAATCACCCATAAGTCACTAGGCTTCCACTAGTCCCTGGAACCTTGGCTGGAAGTGGCTCCCTTACCCTTGGGACTGGGCTGGCTTCAGTGGCCCTGGGACCCTAGCCTTTGGGAGAGTCAGTCATCCTGGGGGGAGGCTGAGACAGCTGAAGGCTTCCCTTCTCCTGCTCCAACTCTGAGGTTTTACCTTTGTCTCCCTCTGTACAATGGGGATAATAAAACCTAGCTCATGGGATTGGGGTTTGGATTAAATGTGATCATGGCTGCAAAGCCTTCAGAGGGGCATCTGGCCCACAGTGAGTAGTCAGTCCTATCAGGCATCACATCGAATTGTCTGTGCTTACGGGACAATGCGACCACAGACTCACATGTCAGGGTTCCAGAAGCTGTGGCTCTAGGCATGAGCAGGAGCTCAGAGCCTCTCATGCCACAGGGGAAAGTCATTTCTGTGAGGCAGTGAGCTGTGTAGGCCCTGGAGGCCATGATATCTGATAAGGGACTCTGGTCTTGGTGCCCATTCAGCCCAGCCATTGTCCAGGGAAGGCCACCTCTGGGGTGGCTACTCTTCCCTATGCCTTCCAACTTTACTACTGTTTTGGGTAACCCAGTGGGGCCAGAAGGTACAGGTTTTTGACCTCCTGGGCAGTAGGTCCCTAGGAAATTTAGAGTACCAGGAATGAAAACCTGAGAGGGATTGGAGACCGTAGGGTGAAACCTCTTGTGAATAGTTGTTGGGGAGAAACTGAGATATAGGGAGGGGAGATGACTTATCCACGGGGTCCAGCCAGTTAGGGGCTGAGCTGACACTGGAACCTGGTTTGGGGAGATTCCAGCCTTCTCCACTGCCAAGTCACATTTAAGCCTCGGTTTCCTAGTCTGATCAACAGTAGTAATGATCCCCTCCTTACCCAATTGTTCGGAGAATGCAGTAAGATTGTGAGTGGAAAAGTGTTTTGCTACTGCAAATGTATCCCACACACCTACGTAAACAGGAGCCTTCATGTCCTGCTTATAAGGAGGAGAAAGAGGAGTAGGAGAGGGAGGAAGAATTAACACACAACCCCAACAGAAGGGAACTCCAAATTTCAAGGACTTTTGGGGGATTTGTGCCTGGGACAGGACCTGGCATACAGGGATCTGGTACTCTGGTCCTGCACCCTGAGCTGTCTCTTCCCAATCTGAGGCAGTCCAGATGCTCAAAGAAAAGATGCAGAGGAGAATGTGGGCAAATCCCATCTTGAGAAAGGCATCTGGGCCCCACCTCTGCACTCCATGCAGAACGAGATTCCAGTGACAAGGATCTGGGTGGCCAGGCTTGGCTGTGCCTGTGTCCCACCCAGGGAATTTGCCTCTCTTCTGTCTCCATCCACAGTGTCATGGTTCACTTCTGACTCTTGCTAAGTTGTAGCCTGAGCCTCTGGGCTCGCTGGAGAACCCTCCCCGCAGGCCTAACATGAATTGAAGTTGTAACACTCGTTTTTAAACCCACTCTCACCCTCTGAACTGCTGTGTGCTCTTGAATGAGCCACACACCTTTCTGGGCAAGCTGTTCATGGTCTTGAAATACGTCTCCCTGAAACTTGACTCTGAGCAAGACTGAAATTATCCCACTCAGCTGTCGTGATAAATTCAGAATAGATGCCACAGCTTCTCTTCGCAGCTCGTGAACCCCAGCCCAAGTTTGTGTGTGTTGATGGTTCGTATGTGTGTGTGCAGTCATTCAGTCACACAATCATACATTTGGGACCAAGGAAGTGGTATGTGGCACAATGTAGAACACATACCTGGCTATTCCTGAGCTCCTGGGTTCAGTCTAGCACTTCAATAAATAAAAAACCTGATAGAGACTCATTTGACAGATGAGAACTTGAAATCTGGAGGGAGGTGATTTTTATGGTTCCACAACACATTCAGGCCATTCTGGTCTGGCTGCAAGCCCAGAGGTGGGGGAGTGGTTGGACATGATCAGGCCCCACTGTGCTTTGCACTCGGCTCTCTGTCAGCACCAAGGAGGAAGAAAGTGCTCCTGTCACAGCCCGGGGCCTCCTGCTGTGGCTCTGGGAGGGCAGCAGAGCTTTCCTGGGAGGGCAGCTACATTTTGTATACAATGACTGGAAGTCTAAGAAGACAACTACACACCTATCACGCACTACTAACTAGAATAAGACAAAAATGCCTTCCTGGAAAGGGTTGAATTACCTAGCACCAATGAATTGTGCATTTAAAAATGGCTAAGAGGGCTGAGCATGGTGACAGCCTTAATCACAGCTACTCTGCAGGCTGAGGCAGGAGGATCATGAGCTCAAGGTCAGCCTGGGTAATTTAGAGGGACTTTATCTCAAAATAAAAAGGGCTGTGGGTACAACTCAGAGGTAGACCACTTGCCTAGCATGTGCAAGGCCCCACATTCACTCTCCAGCACTCTATACACACACACACACACACACACACAAAATAAAATAACAATTATGTGCATTTGACCACAATTAAAAATAATATATTTTTTTAAAAGAGAAGGAGACAAAAAAAAAAGGGGGGGGGGACTGGGGATTTAGCTCAGCGGCATAAGCGCCTGCCTTGCAAGTGTGCGGTCATGAGTTTGATCCCTGGTACCGATAAAAACGAAAAAGACAAAAAAAAAAAAAAGTCAGAGAAGGGAGATGCCCCCAAATGGGTGGGCTTTTTCTTTTTCTTCTTTGCAAGGGAGAATGGATTTACTTACCAGTCAGCATTTTTTTTTTTTTTTTTTTTAATTTTGAAGGTAGTAGAAATACAACAAAACAAGACAGAACCAAGCCAATCGAGACAATGCAGTGAAATCGGTACAGAACTTCAGAGCAGGATACCGGGATGACAACAATAGGTACCATAGTATATCTCGTTATCTTTACAATAGTTGTCCAGCCAATTAGGTATAGTGAAATCAAACCGAAGACAGAACATTATAAAACCAATCGAAATAGAGTAAAGCAATTAATCATAATGAAACAAAACAGTGAAAACAATATTTGCCTTCAAAGAGAAGATAGAAGGAAATTCCCCATATTTGCTGTATTGCGTACTGTCATCCTCCCAAGAGATGCTCAGACCTCTGTCCCCAGTTGCTAAGGTCGGGGGATGTTGAATGTTTGCTTCCCAGCCAGTGCACCCACAGACTCACAGGAGACGCTGACCGGTCTCCTCCTGGCTCACACCAGAGGAAGGCGCTTACTAAGAGGGCGGGCAAATTGCTCCTTTGGGCAGCCGCCTGGGTTCCACCATGGCCGTGTCCAAATCTCAGGGGCTGCTGCCAGTCAGCATTTTAAAAATATTTATGGAGAGCTGGCGTGGTGGCTCACGCCACCCCAGCACTCAGGAGGCTGAGGGGGGAGGATCGTTTCAAGTTCAAGACCAGCCTGGGCTACAAAGTGAGCTCAAGGACAGCCTGAACTGCATAGGGAGACTCCATCTCAAAAAAGACAAAAAAAAAAAAAAAGAAGGAAATTTATTGAACAGTCTTTTAGATTTTACTTAGATATCAGTTTTTCAAGTCAAAATGACTCATATGCATAAAAATGAAGTCATAGACCAAACAAAGCTGACCAAAATAGTCCCTCCCCCCAATTTTTTTTTGTACCAGAGATTGAACCCACAACCTCACACTTAGCCCATAAGCGCTTGAGCTGCTGAGCTACATCCCCAGCTCCTCAAATTTCTTCACATTCAGAATCCCACTCTCCTGAACCCCCTTTTGACTGGGCTGTTTATCTATACGGACTTCTGTGCCACTTGGAACACTGGTGATGCACCATTTCTTAAAAGGTTGCTGTTCTTTCCAGACTCCTAGCCCTAGATACGCATTCTTCAAGTTTTACTGTGGAGGTTTTCTTTCTTTGTGTGTGATCAGTGATCATTTCGCTCTTTTCTTGGTAATAAAACATAGCTTCACTTCCTTGACTCTTCCTTTCTTACGCCACATAAACACTCGGTTATTGTTTTGTAGGAAAGTAAAGAATTGTGGTCATTCTTTAATGACCACAGTTTGCTGCACTAATATCAAATTCTTCCTGGCTCCTCTGTTTCCACGCCTTTCTGGGAACACAATAGCTTTGTGTAAATGCTAAACCACAGTGTAACCTTCTCAAAGACATTCTCAACAGCAATTAAACTGAACCTATATAGGAAGAAAAGGCACTTGGCATGCACCTGACTAAGCTGAGGTTTGTACAGGAAATGACGACCATTTCCAGCTGTAGGTGCCACAACAGGAAGAGAAGTTGCAATGAAAAACAAAAGACACCTGAGGACAGATGTAATGTGACAGCTATTACACTAAACATGCGCCTAGTGCCACTGTGTGCACTGTTCTAGGCATCTTTTTGTCAGTTCTCGGGATTGACTCTAAGGTCTTTGCTCTGAATTACAGCCTCAGCCAATTTTAATATTTTAAGTCTGAAACAAGGTCTCCCTAAGTTGCTACATTATCCAGACTGGAGTT